TCCACTAGTTACAGGCCTCCAACTAGACTGATTAAAACCTGACAAGACTCTAAGGCTGGGACAAAGATGCAGAAGTGGGAAGACAATGAAGCAGCAGCTTGTCATAAGAAAACCCTCTGCCCCCTTGCCTCTACACTTAGCTTCAGGAAATCCTGGTCATGCTGACGTTGGCATGTACTTGTCAGCCCCCTCTCCCCACAAGAGTCTCAACTCTCCTTCAGTCTCTTTCCTCTAAAGGGTGACAACGCTCAGTTCCTATGGGTTCTTCTTCTGGTACCTCATGGTGCAAAGGTCAGTGTCCTGACCTAGGAGGTCTCACCTTGCTGAAGACCATCTGGGTGTCAGAACGTCACTGGACAGTGGAAATCCTACCTTTTTTAGCAAAGTATTTTAAAAGTCTGGGAAATTAGTACTTTTTTTGGTACAAATTAGTACTAATATTGTACTACCTAGTAAAGGCAGAAGAACAGTCAGGTTGTGAAATGAAGCACTCAAAAACTACAAGGTGTCACGATTAAGAGTTAACTGGCGATTTGATTTTTATCTCCTTATGCATAGTCATTAGGATATTTTAAAAACAAGTTTGAGGCCAACTTTATTTATGCTGACAGTTCTTCAATGCAAATATTTGCTTGGAGCTGTTCATTTCCACTGAGCTCAGTACCATAAACAGTCATCACAACAGCAGCACTTGCTAGGTATTTTAACTTCATTTTACAAGTGGGACAAAATTCTTCATAGCCAAGTGGCAAAGCAGGCATCTGCAAAGCAGGCTTACAAGTTGGGGTATTTTGGTATCGTTTCCTTAGTTCACATGACCCTTCTGAGCCAGAGCAGTACATAAAATACATAGGGTGGGGATGAAATTCTGTCTCTACAGAAATTAATATAACTCAGACATTATGGTGCAGAGCCGTATCCTCAAGGTCTAAGTTATTCTGTTCACCAAACCAAATTGCTTACAAATTGGCAAACTAACAAATATCAGCATTTATCAAAATTAAATCCGTATGTTCTTCAAATCCATGTATCATCAACTACATCCAGATGTAAATGTCCATGGACAGTTTTAAGGAACCTCAGTCCCACAGTCTGTTTCCATCACGATTCTCAAAATTAGCACTGTTCACAAGCGATATATGGCAACATTTGGTCTCTTCAAGAAACAATACTTGTTGCTTTCCTTAGAGCCAGGTATCCTGTAACAGCGTCTGAAGGGAGCATCCTAATATAGGCAAATTCTTCAATGTTACTAAATCTCAGCTTGCTCTGGGGATCTGTGTAATTTGCCTGAAAAAGAAACAATAGCAGAGACACTGTTCAAATAAGATCTCAAAACAGAATACTCGAAAAAGCATCTAATTACAAGACCACAAAGTAGTGAGGTGTCTTCCCCAGTAACAGCACTGCTGTTCTACCACGTCACCAAAAGTTTGACATTTATTTTCTTTCTCCTTGTGTCAGAACTTACGAGAAGTTAACAGACCCCTATAAAATCACATTAAAAATGCATTAAACATAACAGAGGGCTGAAATAGCTTCATACAAAACACAGCACAAAAGAAATTCCTCAACTGTCCAAACTCACCCTAGCAACTCCGTGCCTTGTGCAGTCTCTCACAAGGCAGCTCTCCAAAGAGTCGGGCTGCTGCCAATAAATTACCCACAAAGACGCTGAGTTATGGGTGCTCTGATAGCTTTGGACTGATTTTCCCTTCCTGCATACAACTTGGCTTTTAATTTACTTTAAAGTGGTTGTTAAAGCAAGGGAGTCTCAGCTTATGGTGCTGTAACTGAACTGATAAGAAATTTGAACTCGGCGTTGTGCCTTGCTGCAGACGCCTGCTTTCAGGATAGCAGCCTGGCCAGCTAACCCCGGGCTATGCTTGTATCCTCTGCTATATTTGGACCCTGGGTGCCTGGGAGCAGTGCCAGTTTCCTTCCATCCTCTCCCTTTCCCTGTTGCTACAGAAACCTTGAGCTCAGATGTGGTGGGGGGCAGCACAGGAGGCTGGGTGGGAAGGCGGCCAGCTTCAGGGTGTCACCTCTCCACCTTCAATCAGTCACTACCCCTTCAGCACTGGATTACCAAGCACCTGCCAAGGCTCCAAAAGTGTCTTTTGTACCTTTCTTCAGAGGAGACGGTGGCAGGCTGCAGGGCACAGGCAGCTGAGATCCCTTAAGACATTGCTACTAAAAAAGAAAAGACCAGGAAGAGCCGGAGCATTCTCCCCATCCATACTGTTGAAGTGCAGAGCCCTCTACCATTTTGATGTTGGAAAGGATCTGCTGACCATGGTAACAACCCAGTTAATTGTCTGGCCTGATAAGACTTAGCAGAAAATTAAATGTTATTTGTAGCTTCTTTCTTTACAAAGAGATGCTATGAGGTTAATTAAATGTAATCAGCTAACAGTCAGATCATCAATTCATTTTCAAACAAATGGCAAAGTTAGGACATTAGGAGTAAATTTATCCCTGGTGGTAGCTTGAGTCTATAATAAACTAACCATGCAATATCTGCAATTTCTGTTGCACACCAATCTAGGTTAAAAATATTATGGCAGTTCTTAACCTTTCTGATACTTCATGTTGGGCTGCACTGTTTGCACACACTAATATATGGTGACTACTCATTTACGCCATGACTTCAGTCTGGAAACAAACTTTACCGCTACTTCAGCAATAAATAAAACAGATTAGAAAAGCAAAGTGATTTTAGAAAGAAAAAACTCTGTCATCTTTAGAAACTAAGTCAAAGGCCACAGATACACGCTCTTCAAATACAATAAATTAGTTATCTCAATCTGTTTCTATAGTAACAAGGCTGATCCATTTTCAGAAAAGGAAGAGAAATATAAACATTTGAAAGCTTGGGGTTTTTTTAACTGCTTTACAATAAATTACTCTGTTTTGCATGCTAAAATGTCTAAATACTCATCTTGCAAGTTTGGAAATAATAGATATATTTTGCAGTGCCAATACAGTAGATAATAGCTTTGAATTCTAGGCTGCCTTACACATATAAATCATCTGCTCTGCTTAGATCACTGGTAAATTTAATTTCATTTGTGTTACGCAGAGAAAGAGAAGAGGATCAGTAGAATTTAATTGTGGCTTTTAATATAACTGCAGGTATACTGATGAGAGTGTTTTAATACATTTCTCCTTTTTCTTGTACCTGCTAGACCATTTAATTCTTCCCTAAATGGGTAATGCTGAGGAATTTATTTTACTTTTTTTCTTTTTCCGTGGGGAATTCAGCAATCTCATAGAAAATATGTTCTTACACAAATGCTTTCAGATTTTACACAGAAAATACAGGGGCATTTTTCTTATACTAGATTTCTAAAATATTCTTTTACCCAACGTATCTTCCTACGAGGAAATGATCTTGAAAATACATTTAGTGCTTCTTATGAAACATTTCTAGCTTAGCTATTTAAAGGACACACTGCCTCAGTTATCTTAATAAAAAAGATCTTTTTTAAACACGGTGTTTTTATCGAAGTCTGGAGAAACCTTGCAGATCAGGTAAAATAGGGAACTTGACTCACAGTGCAATTAAAGGATGAAAAATTAAGTGGAAAAGAAAAAAAAAAAGGAAACAAAGGCAGCGCTGAATGGATTCATATTGGACGGAGAGCATTTATACTGAGCCAGAGTAGTTCGAGTACATAAATCACTGATGGAAAGGAGGAGCTGGTAAAGAAAAACTGAGGAACTGAGAGGAAGACTAATTTCCAATGGCTAAACTGACCCTTAGCTGGTAGGCACATGGTCCTCACTCACATCTATAACCTGCACCATCACCTGGCTGTAGGTGCAATGACTGACTAGTTTTGAGATGCAGCAAAGGCTAGTGCTGGAAAGCACCATTTGGTTCCTTGGAGATAGGGCAGTGAAAGGGGCTTATGCCATTACGCCTCTGCCCCACATAAGCCCCTCACAGGTCAGAGATGTAGCAGCAACTCCGATAACATGTGGTGTGGATGCTACTAACACCTGCAAAGCAGCTCTAAGGGGAGAAGATACGAAACAGATAAACATCATTAAGTGGCCCAGTATCGAATTTTTGCTATTTTGGTGATATCTACTCATTATATTTCACATGTCCACCTATCCCTCCCCTTCCTCCATCTGCTGCATCTTTACATAGAGTAGGGGGACTTATACAAAGTTCCTTATTCAACTGACCCCTGCTCCTTGGCTGAAAACAAGTTGTTATTATATCAAAGCATTACTCTTATGTGTATCAGACTCTAAGTCTGCCTGGCTGGAGGGAATTCTTTTTCCCTGGGTTTGTGAGCAGTGTCTTTCGTTTGCTATCTGCCAGTTCATCTGCGAGGGAGATGTTACTTTCCCATTCCCTCTTGAACACCAAGGGTTACAAGCCTTGATCCGAGCAACCCACTCCATTTCCAAATTATGCTCAAAGGCACAGGCTGGAAACATGCCACCTCCTAGATGCCTTATTTAAATGTGTTACTTAAAAAAGTTAAAGAAAACATATGCCACCAAATCAAGAACTCAAATGTTAGGATGTACAGGACTACAGTTGGTGCTATAGCTATTCTTCGATACCTCGCACCGTGTATCCACTATAAGGCAGTCCTTAAATAAGTGCTCACCCATTTTTTTTTCCCCAGTGGGGACTTTCACCTAATTCAGTGTACAGAATGCAAGGTGCTGTGTTCACCTGCCTCAACATAACAGACGTGTATATTTACAGGCATCTCTGTGAGGTGGGCTACTGTCCTATGGATAAGAAACAGATTAAACTGGGAAGGAACCCAGGAATTCTGGCTAAGGCTATTTGACATTACAAAGTTTTCATTGTAGTTATTTAGTGTAAGCATTACTTAACCATTTTTACAGTCCAAAGTAAAACATTCCTATTAATTTCAATTCCAATAAATGCATAGGCTTCTGCAAAATAAACCACTGGAGGCTGAAGGTGAAAAGTGAAAAGATATGCTGTTACTAACACCTGTTTAGTTTTAAATAAAATTATTCATCTCACACAGGAACAGTATCAACAGCAGATACAAAATTTTTGTTGGGCAGAATTCAATTACTTTACTCCTATTTTGTGCCAACAGAATCTTTGGGGAATTCAGGTGCCAAACTGTAACTACCGAGACATTTTGGAGTATGTGCAAACTGTGTCTAAGTCAAGTGTGGGGGTTTTTTCCGTTATTTTTTTTCTTTAACAAAACCATGTAAAAGAGCCCATCTGTGACACACAGGCTATATATCTGCCAAATTCCAAGTTCCAGCTCTGAAGCATAGGGGTATTTGAAATTCTCAAAAGTCCATGCCAAGTGTCGGTCTCAGGCTGATTTGTTTGAGGGGAAGTTTGAGAGCAATGATTACAAGGGAGTTCTTTGTTTTGTTTTGTTTTGTTTTTATCAATAAATATAACATTTTGGTTTTGTTTTGTATCAATAAATATAACATTGCCTAATCTCATTCTTGGAAACTGCTGAGTGCCATCTATTTGAAACTTTCTCTAAAAGATATAATGAAGTAAATCAGCCTCAGACAAACGCTCAGCATTGAAAGTTTCAGTCTGTGTGGTTAAAGGTTGGCAAAGTTAGCAGTCATGGAGACTGTGGGCTACCAGCTTTCACTGTGACAATCTACAAAATCAGAAGTGATGTGGACCAATGCAGACTCTATGGCTGGGAAAGAGGTGTGATAGGTGCCACCTGGCAAGGTAAGTTATTAAATCTGTCCTGACATCTACTAACAACCTAAGGATTTTGTGAGGTAGCAACAGTATTTGGGGTTTGGCCCTAAATCACCAGACAACTATTAAGCACGAGGCTGAACAGGAACCTCAGCAAGTACATCTTTTACAAAAGCACGCACCAGCTTTATTTCATTGTGAAAAGTGAGATGCCAGTTTTGAAGAGAAAAATAAGATACTTACCGGAAGTCCTGAAATGTCCGAATATTTCTTGGCAGGCTTAAAGGAAGGAGGAGCATCAATATTAAAATCTAGAGAGAAGCAAAGGGATAAATTCAATGTGCTATATATATTTTAAAATGTAAACCCAAACTAAAAATAGGTAACAATACTTCTTTAAAATGCTGCCTTTCCTTTCTGAGGTGTCTAGTAACTAGCAGCACTAAAGCAAAAGATAAGAAGCAGAATTACCTCTGAAAACATTTAGCCTGTTAGCCCTGTAAACAATAGCTTGATTCTGCTCAGCTCTCTAATGGAAGTTCAGCAAGCAAAACTGCCCTCGCCCTAAAGGAAAAATGTGAGGGCTATCTGAAATGTATTGATTTCTTCCAAGTCTTACTAAATACCCTTGCAGTCAGTTATTTGCAAAGAATAGCCATTATCATATGCATGCTGTATGTTAAAACCACGAAACATTGCTCAAGATTGCAGCTCTGAAATACTATAATCCAGAAAAGCAAAGCAATCTTTTAAATCAGTTAAATCTTTAAGCATGTACCACTTTAAGCCTAGTCAATGACCTAGAAAGTTGTCTGAATGTTTAAATTAAATGATGGAAGTTGCTGTTCTTTTGTGCCCTTTAGATAGCAACTCTCATTCATAAACACTTCTAAGATACAGTTGGTATGTTTAAGTAGTTAAATCCCCAATTTTGGAAGTTGAAATATCTTGTACCTGACTCATTTCATTCCTCCTTCCTGATCTCTCTTGCACTTCATTCAGATGCCATCATCAATTCAAATGCTACATCCATATCAAATTTCTAATTCATAATCTCATCATTCAGAAGACACTAATGCCACACACAGCTTGTTTCAAATAAGCAACTGAATTTCTTTTCCCACCTTCTTAAAAAAAAAATTCCTGTAAATTTACTCTTGCAAACAGAATGTAATAGAAATAGCAACATCAGCAAATTGTCAGTTACAATAGCCAGGAACACAGAGTAGTCTGCATTTTTCTGTAACAGTTGCGTTTAAAACACTTCAAAAAATGACAGGCTATTTTTGGATAAAGCACCAAGTCTGACAAAAAGTATATGCATATGCTCAATTCTGAAATGCCTCCACTTCCTTAAGTCAAATCTGAGGATCACATTCTGCCTCCAGCTATGTTCAATAGTACCCTACTTTATGAGTAGACTTGAAGTATACTGAGATTAAAACCACTGCTGTAACTCTGCTCCTGTAGATTGTACACCAGCTAGGACTGCTAATCAGGACTGGTAATAACATAGTTTCAGCTGTGCTGAACTAAATAGGGGATGTAGGATTAAAATCTCCCAAGAATCTAGGATAAGGAGCTGGATAGGAAGCTTGGGCTGAAGTCTGAGCTACTGCAGGTATGTGGCTTAGCAGAATCTCTTTGAAAATAGTTCAAATAGAGCTAATCAAGCAGCAGCCACCCATCAGAAAACATTTGGGCTGTATACAGTGGAGCAGGCTCCTCAGCAGTGAGAGGTGACAAAAACCTGATGGGAATAAGAAGTTTCTGACCTGGTTTGGATAAATACATTTCCCTTTACTGAACTGTCTGCCCACATGTATTTGAACTTTGTCACAATACTGCAAATTACTTGCTTCCCCCTGCTTTTCACATAGGGCTGGTGAGTGTGATTGGTCTTGAATGTACTACTGGACCTCATTCAAGCAGGATATTGAATGCACTGATGAAATAATTTAGGTTTGTTTTAAAGAAAGTTATTTGTGTGGATTTTATTATTTATAAATACATGCAAAGCGTCTAAGCAGCTTACAGCTAGGATCATTTAGTTGCCATGGCAATGCCCTTTCAGAAGCAAGAATTTGTTTCAGGTTCTTCCAAGTTCTGTTCTTCTTGCCAGCTGCTGCTCCACCAATGCCGGAGTGCTAGAATTAAGAATATGGTGCTTAGAGAAAAAAATAAAGAAAGAATACTACTTCAGAGCGTGACACTTCTATTTCATAGTCTTTCTGCTACGTCCCATCTTGTCATGAACCATTTGTTACCCTCACTTATTTCATCAGCAGGCTAATATACTGTACACTTTAATCTTGGCTGCAAGAAAAACAAAGCTTTTTGGACTGTGTCAAAGCTACTGTGTTTAGGATTAACTGAAGGAAATGAAAATCTGCCTTTTACATGGAAATAGAAAATCAATGTGGTTAGGTTTAGCCTGAGATTACAGGATTCTGTACGTACTTCCCTTCGTATTAGAACTTATTACAGCGAAGTTGTGTCTGAAATTGTGATTACACAGCTAAATATTCTCTCTCCTTTTTCTGGCGTATTACAGGTGCAGCGCTTTCTTTTATAGATTATCCATGACTTTAGAAAAAACAACTGATCTTGCAAAATGTAATGAATACTATGAGAAACTTTCTGGAAATTTTATTTTTCTTTCGAAGGATAGAAGACAGAATAATAGAAAAAGAGTAATAACTAGAATGTTGGCTGCCAAGACAATTTTGCATTTTGAAAGGTACACTAATGAAAGGCTTGCCACAGGTACTGTAATGGCAGTTTCAGTTATCAAATGTGATTGCTACAAAGTAATTTATTTATGTTCCTCCAGAGACAGAAGCTGCACAACATACTGTACTACTTCTAAATGATCAAAGGACACAGATTTACAGCTTTACTTCAGAAAAGAAAATGTTCTTACGATTGGGAAGTTGTTGTTATTTCTGTTAATAATTACTGCCTGCCACATCAGTCTCATCAAAACTCAGCAATGTTCTGCAAACACACTTCTGCTGTGATTGGTTTATAAATTAGCCTGTTAAATTGCTGAGAATGATAGGAGGAAGGATTCAATGAGAAAACTTTTTTCTGTACACATAAGATATATTCAGGAAAGATGGTCATGGGCTGATGATCTACTGGGGTTTGGCAACGGATATCCAATACAGAAAGTACATGTAAATGTTTGCTCTGAGGGTAACACCTTATTAATCTAGAGATCATTGTAAAATAGAGACTGCAGGAATAAGAGATGAAAATAGATGTACTGCCACTGTACTAATTTGACTGCATTACGTGAGTTTTCCCCCAGATCATTGCAAAATTCTTTTTTTCAGTAATCCGGTTTCTCAGAAGCAACTACTGGGTTCATATGAACTTATGCCTCCTAGGAGCGGGGCTGACTATTGCCTAACATATCTACAATCTAAAGGCAATGACTGCCAAGCACAAATGAACCAGGCTACCTCTACACTAATGAAAGCTGGAGCTATGACAAGTGGAGTTATTCATTGCACTACACGATTGTCTGAAGGTCTTCTTCCCCTGCCCCATTGCCAAGGGATGCAAATTCCAGTCAGGAAGTTGAGAAACAGGTAATTTCTTCCTTCTTCTCTGCTTTTAAGTCTATCTTCTGCAGTGAGGTAATGGTTCAAACTTGGGCATATTTATGAGACATAGACACAATTTGATTTCTTTTCTACCTTTTAAAGCAAATTAGGCTAGAAGGACGCAAAAGGTAATTCATACTGTTACTACCAGTTCAGACTGACAAAAAGCTAGTTAAAACTCAATCCATTTCTTCTCAAATTAGTTACTGCACTGGGGAGAACAATTTCATGTTTTTATTGTAACTGCCTATTATTCCTGCAGCAGTTGCCGAAGGCCCTGTACATTCCTTATTATTTCAAGCATGCAGACATTACTATTGCCTTGTCAGAATGGTGACATCCCTCTAAGAACTAAAGGATCAGCCCAAGGCCTCTTGGCTATTTAAATCCTATACGGAAGCCACGTGGAATGCTTCTGGCTGCACGCAAATGGAGCTTTTCCAATAAGCCCCATTTCTCAGAGACGCTGGTGCTCACTGGAGGATCAGGGTAAGCAAAGTATATAGTCATTTGAACGCCCCTCTCATGACAGAAGTTGTCTGCAAAGCACACAGAAAGCAACCTGCAAGTCAGAGATTAATTTTACACCCCCTGCCAAACCTGTGCTTAGTGAGCTGTGTGATGCCCGATTACTCAGGTTTTGTGCTGTGGGATATTGTATCTTATTCATACAGAATGAAATCTGGGATAAAATCCTTCTTTCTGAGTACTGGCTTAGGACCAGCAGAGTAAGAAGTCTGCTTGTCTAGAAAGCATTTGTACAGTGTGCCAATGAGCCGGCCCTGGCACAGCACGATAAAAAGATATTAAAAACAAACCCAGCCATGACAGCATCGCTCGCTGTAGCCTTCCTTCACCTTCTCCCCGAGTTTAAACCTCGCAGTGTTTTAACAGCCTGTATTTCATCAGCTGTCAGAGTTTACATGACTTCTGAGCGCCGGCAGGCCAGGCTTCTGGGGAGCACAGAAGCGTTTGCTTCTAAATCTAGCAATTACTGCAAGAACAGACACCACAGGTCTGGTAGAGTTTCAGGGACCCAGAGAGGAGCAAAATGCCAGCTGCTAATGACTCTCTGGCTGATTTCGAGCTCAAATGTTTTGCAGTCTGCCTTGGCTAGGACTTGGGAGATGGGATTCCTACATTCACAGCAGTATAAATTATTCCTCTCTAGCTGTGGTAGTTTGTGAGATACCACACCATAAAACTTCTGCACTTACCTTAGCTAGCAGGTTTTCTGACTCTGTTTTGGAACTTAATATAATAGTTCTGCCTCTGGACCAGGGCCCTTTTCATGCTATAATACAGTGTGCGCTTTGGACCATAGTGTGGCATGGACTTGAGGTGAATTTCTTAAAAATTTGCGACCTTTTTTTATTGGGCAGTTAAGCTGACTTTCTTAATATTTACATTAGCAATATGGTTAAATAGAATCCTAGTTAATATTTTATTTGAAGAGTTTAGAATTTCAGGTTGTTAAAATAATATACTCACGATGAAATTTGGATCTTTAAATGGTAATGGCTTGACGGTTGTTTCCACTGATCCTGTGCTGGAGTCTGTGTTCAGAAATTTGTTTTCATTCATGGCCTCTCCACCTGCAGTCTGAAGGAAAAACACAGTCTCACTGTTTGGTACTCTGAGCAAGTTTCACCAGAGACGCAGCCATCTGCTGTATTAGCTACCTGTTGCCTTTTTAGCCTTTCTGTCTCTCTCTTTTGAATCTTTAAAGATGTGGCATACCAGCAGTGGGGCAGAGTATGACAGAGAATACTTGTCAAGCAATTTACAACTGACACATAAAAGGGAGGAGGGGAACAGAGTGGCCAAAGCCTGCTGACTGAAAACAGCATCAAGTTTATTTCAGTATTAATGAAAGCCATCTCTATAAAGTGCAAGACAGCATGTGAAACCAGAAACAGCACAAATGTACATTGGATTTCTTTCAGAATGTTCAGTCTTAGAGCATTAACAGGAATATATAAAATTTACAGAAAGTTCTTTGTCAAGGTGCTAAAGAATAATTGATTAATCAATTTATTCTCCATATTTAGCTTCAGTCATGCTTGAGTGAGGACTGAGGGGAAAAAAGATATTATTATACATACTTTTATGTACAAGGCTCAGAAAATCTACATTGGTAGTTGCTGTTTTCTAGGCTTTTCTTTATGGTTGATTTATTTAGCAGGAAGAGCACTTGGAGAAGGTGCCTGTGTGATTGGAAAGCTAAAAAAGTTGTGTGGCAGTCTAAACAATTTCTGATAGTTCTGCATAGCTGAGTCTATGTTGCTTTTTTATTTTGCGAGCACCCTGTAAGTCTCCACACTACCAGAACTAGCCCACGCTACATCCATAAATGTTCCTCGTGAAATCCTGATCTGTACTGAAGCCAATGAGAATTTTGCCACTGAGTTTGGCTGTTCAATCAATAGGATTTTATACCTGGATTATTTTTCTTGGAGAGCAAAATGGTTGGCTAAAAGCTAAATCAATATTTACTGAACGGGTGGGTAAAATGTTTCTTTACCTTCAGACAGATAATACTTAGAACAAAAAAAGTTTTCCTGTGAAAACTTGCACTGCAAAACCTTCTGTGTTGACACAATTCTCCTTTAAGTAGGAGACAACAGGATCATTATTATTAGTGAATTTGAATTATGGGTGTACCTCTAGAAACTGCGACTATATAGCAAAGGCCATGGCTCAGCATATCCTTCTCCACCTGATTTCAAGGGGAGCGTTTGTATTCTTAACTACATGCATAAGTAATTGCAGGACTAGGAACTAGGCAAGTTCAACTCTTCCTTGGGGAAATACGTCAGTTATTCAACAGTGACTGTTTTTAAGATAGCAAAGAGAGGTCTTAAAATTCAACGTAACGTATAAAGAAACATTCAAGTAAAATAGTAACGTTTCTAGTATCTTATTAAAATATATGAATAGAGATGATCTGTTTCCAAAACCACAGTCAGTCCTCTGTAAACTCATAGTACAAGGGATACTGCCATAATAACATTAGTGGAGGAGACATTGAAGCCTGTAGCTTAAACTTGATTCTTCCCTTGCTGAGGACAACATTAAAAGGCAGTGACTGTCACAGAAACAGAAGAAATGCAGATGGATGTTCAGAAACATGTGTATTATGTGACAGTAAGCAGACAAAATAATATCTTCAGCAATCCTGACTAAAGTGGCTTTATACAATGAGTTGCTAGGTTTCAAAACTATATTCTTGCACATGCACGCTTGCAGTATTATGTCAGATTTCAGGAGCAAACATTAAATTCATTCTTCAGAAAGACAAGGTTTGTGATACAAGATTATTTTTGATAAAGAAATTATATCTGATACTGCTCATTGTCAGTGCAAATTCTGTAAGTGGAGGAACCAGCACTCACATTTATTCTTCAAAGCATTCTCACCTTTTATTTGGTACCATTTGGTCAGTTTTAAATCCAATCCTACAGCTTTTTTATTAAGGAGTTTATCACTTTTGTACCTTCAGTGATCTTCTCCTAAGTATTCTGTTGTTTATGAAAGAGGTTTTGAGTAGCATTTCAACAATATCTCAAAACAGTATCTAGTATATTTAGACGGAGCAAATAGAAATGGTTTATCAGTAAGAGGAAGAAGCTTCCTTATACCTATAGTCCTTAATTTCTGCAGCTGGGTACATTTACATATTACACTCACTGCCTTCAGTGGGTTTTTCTGTGTGGATTCAGTGTTAATCTTGCTGGCGCACTGGGAAGGAAAGTAAGGAACTCTTCCTAGCAGGACAATTCTTGAATGTAAACTCTACACGTCGTTTCTTTTCTGGACCACCTCCTAAGGGATTTCAGGTATTAGTGCTGCTAAGAGTCGGGATAGCTCATGTTGCAGGCCAGATGTTAATTTTGTTTGTGCCAGTATGGCGGCAGGATCCGGAGCAGCAGCTGCTGCTTGTCTGGGCCATGTGGACACCCAAGCCATCCTCCAGCCCCACCAAGACTTCACACCTGCAGGAGCTTCTGGATCCGTCACGGACAATCAGAGAGCAGTGGTTCTTCTCTCCAAGGCAAGGGTACAGGCTGGTGTGCAGGACTGTAAAGCAGCTTGCACACCATGGTGGCATGCAATTAATACCATGATTTCAGAGCCCTGTGGTAGACTGTGAAGTGAAAAGGACGGAGCACTACGATCCCAGTTAAATGCTGGGAATTGACATAAAGACATACTACATAGGTATGCCAGCTCCCTCACTCAGCACTGCTTGTATGAAAACTCCAATTTTCAGCAGTAGCACTATGGAAGACAGATACTCAGCTAATGGGCTTTTCTTTCTGGAAAAACATTAAAGAGTTGAGTAGAAGCACTGCTTCCAGAATTATGTGCTGCTGCACAGAGGAGTGAATTTCGTCAAGTACAGGGCTTTGAAATGCTCTTTCCGTGAAGGCTGCACAAGTTTCAGCTGATATCCTCAGCAGCTTTTCAGCCACAAACTGAAAGTGTCGCAACAATCTACAAATCTGTCCAGCCTCTGCTTTAAAATGCCAGGATTTATAGCATAAGAAACATAATTTAATCTTTCAGGTTTGTTTTTCTGAAAGTTTTTTTTTTTAAGAGAGGAGGGAGATGCCAAATGAATTTTAACCAACATGGATCTACTTTTGTCCTGCAAACCCCATGTTTCCTGAAAGTGAATAATAGAGTGCTAATACAAAACATTATTTAGAGCCTGAAAGAAGAATCCTGTTCAGTTACTGTACAGTAGAGGTAACCTTTAACTTTTAACATTAGTTGAACAAAGCTCTCCCAAATGTGCTTGTCTGCCTGGTCGTTTAGTTTGGAAGATGGTTCATTCTTCACTGTCATGTGTTGGGGCCAACAAACAGGAATGAATTCAACTCCTCTTTGTAGTCCTGTGAGCGACGGCTGTCTCGTGAGCCCCGTGAGGAAGTGCCTGTCACCGGGGAACATGTTCTGCTCAATGTGTGCTGTAACCCCCAGTCACGTGTGGGGCAACTTCCCCTTCCTGCCAAATTCACAACCAGTCCCTGGCACATTTTCTCTACCCAGCCAGTCTCTCCCTCACTCTCAGCATCCTAGGATAATTGCAAATATTTTGCAGTAGGGCTAGGAAGAAAGTGTAACCATGGGCTGAAACTCTCAATAGCTCCTTTAAAGCTTCTTTTTAACCGATCTTGTAATGCAAACATTATTTATGGGGGGCTCAATGTACACTTCAAAGAGAGAGGCAGTGAAGCAACTTTTAATGTGCACTATATAACTAAATTGTGTCTTTTAAACAGTGGTTTATGTTACTAGGGCTGCAGGGAACCTAAGCAGTCTGTATTCCTCCATAGGCTGTTGGTGATTGTAACGACAATGACTTTGGAGTGTGTTTACATTTACAGGGTACCCCTGCACTAGCAAATGAAGGTGTGATTTCAGTGCAGCTGAAAATGCTTATGCTAGATTTACCCCAAATAACAATAAAGACAGTACAGTAAAGACTGCATCAGTAACTATGTTAATCCTTTCCCATCGACTCATCCTGGCTGTTAACCTCCACAAAAGTCCATGGGCCACCACCTCTCATGATACCTCCCTCTGTTCTCCTCCTCTTCCTCCTCCTCCCAATATCCTCCTTAGCCTGCGAAACCTTGACTGGAATGGCATGTTTTAAAAGTTGTAGGCAGTGAGTTAAAGGCTTCTGATAGGACCACTTATGCAATTTTATTCCCTTTATAAAGTTATGTTTATGTGCTTTAGCTGAATTTTAACTACAACCACAGTGTGACATATTAGCAACCACAGTCCTTCCTGGGACAGACAGGAGCAATGGAGGGCAGTGCTGCTTCTTTTTCACATTTCTTTTCATAAGATCATCTATAGAGTATTCAGTGCATCCCAGCTGGGTGGGACGCTGTCCTCCCCGTTACATACTAGGACTGGGTGATGGTCACCGAGTGAGGAAGCTGCCTGAGGGCCTCACTTTGTCAGTAGACAGCCAAAATTCAAGAGAGAGAGTGAAGACCTGCAGCAAACACTTGGGAGCCCCAAGAGGTTTGTTGTAAGAGCGGCCAAGTCTGGGGAAGAGACCTGAGCTAAGCTTTGCTACCTCAACACTGGTTTCTTTTGAACAAAGCCAAACCCCAGGAATGGGCCTGGTTTGGACCCTGCTGTATATGCTGTCTGTACTGGGAGAAAACACACACTGGGAAGCTGCCTATGCACATACCAGTTTCAATCTTAGGTTTTGGTAGATCTATTAATTTTTTCAATGTATCCTGTTCCAAATTCCCTACCGCAGATGTACTGGCTTTCACATGATTTCCAAAGATTGCTCCATCTGTCTGGTTTTATTTAGGGAGAGGACAAGAAAAACTTAAAAGACCATGGAAGCCAAATTCTTGGCTATTTCTAGGTGGAATCACCATTGCGGCGTTTGGGATGGGTGTCTGCGATGGGATTAAATGCCAGGTGGAATTAGTGTATTATGAAAGTGCTTGTCTGAATAAATAATTATTTTTTTTCCAAGCAAGGATTAAAACTGCATAACAGAATAATTGATTAATGCTGAAATATTGTTTCTTATCTATTTACTTTTGGATTGTATTCTATATTTTTTATTATTTTAAACTAACAGAATTTTACAAACTAGAAGAAATACAAAAAAATAAGAAACATAAAAGTCAAAGATGTAAATTTGTGCATTTCTAGCATGCTATCAGTGCATACCATGCATGTCATGGCTTAGAAAAATAACTGATTTGCACATTACTGAAGGTACACTACAGTTGTCAATGGCCATTTTCGCTAGATGTTACAGTTTTACAGGGTAAACCAGAATTTAAACATAGAAGGTAAACTGAACAGTGTGTTAGTAAAGCAGAAGTTAAATGCATAAATACATTCCTTAAGATATGGAAAGGGAGTTTCTAGTTGAAGGGAGCAAAACCAATACTGTAAACATTTTCTCTGTTTTGTTTTCTGCAAATCATTTATTAGTTAGTCAGTTTTAACACTACATTGAGTACAGCAATTGTACGTGAACATTATTATATACGTAGTTTTTTGGTTTGGTTTTGCTTCTGCGTTCAGTATTCGATACACCGACTTTGTCTTAAAGGGATGACTAATGACTGTATGTCACTACTGAAAAATAAGTAATAAAGGGAACTCATTCTAAATTGAGCCCTCAAACTTGGTGATAACTTTGCCCCAAGCACTGAATTTGGCTTGCTGAGAAACCCACTTGTCTCCAACCTTCGTATATGTGAAGCTCAACAAATAGTTTAAATTATTTGCTTACTTTTGACAGCTGATTTGCATAATTAAAATAATACCGCAATTACATTCTTGATTTCATTGACACCGTTATTTTAACTCAGCCTCAATAATGGTATTTGCCTAATTATTCCTGTAGCAGGTTACTTCTAAAGCAGCAGTATCCAACTTGTAGCAACTTACCTAGCTAAGTTCTGTGACATCCTGACAAAGCTGTGACATGCAGCCAGGGAAGAAAATGGTAATTTCTAAAAGAGATGGGTAATACCTGTATTTTCACTAGCAGCCAATTACAGTGAGTGAGAATGCTGTGTGGAAACAGAGCACAAATGTCACTAGATGACAGCAGCGATGGTAAGAGCAGACTTTTCAAAATTGGGAGTAGACTTTGAATGTCTGCTATTTAACAGAGGCCTAGCTAATACTGCTCATGCTGGAACCTATATAACGCTGTTTGATTAATATATTAGCTCTCCCTGTATAACAAGCCTGGTACAGGATCTTGCACATTCTGAATATTTAATCCATTTAACTTTGCATGCTAACATGACAGGAGCCATTAAAACTTGAACACGTACACCCTGGCAGGCAAAAATGCATCTCTACATTGCTGGCAACAATTCACAGAGAAAGGTGTCCGAATTAGATGTGCTTATGCTCAAGTTGAAATGATAGCTAAAAAGTTTCTCATCACCAGCATTATCAGCATAGTGCATTTCTGAAAGCAAACTCAATAACAGCGTAAGACTGAAGAAAGTGCACTTTCTTGAAAAAGATTAACTCTCTCCATGTCTGTGATAGAAAGGTTTGCTGGAAAGACTTACTCAGTAACAAGTGTAAACATGCCTTCCCCATCTGGTTGCATTTACTGGTTCTCCGATGCAGCAGGAAAAACTTTTTCCCTCTCCCTTTCCACTCACTAAAATGAGGCCTGATACAATTTCCCCAGCCTTTTCTCTCTCAGCACTCTGGTACATAGTAGCATTTTAGGAATGCTCTCCCTTCACAGGAAGTCCTACCTTATTTTGAGGTAGGAAAAAAAGATTTCAGCTTAAAAATGTTCAAATGCCAGGAAGGAAAAAAAAACCCAAAAAATCTTGCATATTCACAGCAGATTTTGTTGTACAGGGTACTGGAAAACTCAGTTTACTAAATAAAAAAACTGAGTAGTAGCCAACTGGGAACAGGTGTTAAGTACAGTGCAGATCAATGTCTTTGATTTCGAGCAGCTAGTAGAGTGGGCAACAGTCATGTACACAGTGTAAATTGTGAGTAAATCCATTTAAGTGAGTTTCATCATTGCCAGCTTATCTTAACTGACAAGGTACAGGTTCCTGCTTCCATTGACATCAAAGGTAAATCTCCCAAATGCCTGACAACAACAATATTTATGTTTAAAGTACAACATTGTATTGGATGCTGCTGTTGCTTTCATTTATAAAGAAAGCTGAAGGAGGGTTGTTAAAAACAAACACAACAACATACAGCTTGAAATTAGTTGGCTGAATTATTGTAATAATAGCTTATAATTCCAAGTGCATGTCACCAAATGTACTTCAGCTTCTTCTAGGCATTCCCCAGAGGACCTCTTAGTCACACATCAAACTACGTTCCTGTGCCAGACTTACACAATCGTCCCTTTCCCTCTGACTTGCTGACTATTTCCACTGAGTGTCAAGAGTTAATCAACTGCGCAAACTAACTCCAAACACAGGACTAAAATTTAGAGATCATCTCACCTGTTGGGTGTATAAAAGGGAGGGGGTAGGTGTTTGAAGCAGGACATGGAAAATGTTTCACTTGCAATCTAAAGAAAGATGATACATAGAGACACATAAGCTGTTCAGAAAGCAAGCTGTACATTCTGCTTCCAAACTTCTAGGCTGCTGTTGTGAGGTGAGTTAAAACATCTTCTATTCCAACAGCCTTGGAAAGGCTGAATACAATTTTACTCGTGCACGAAAAGACTGGACTGTCACCAAGTGATGGATGGCTTTTCTATGTTCTCTGTAGGGCATTTCAATACCATAGACTCCAAGTGCTCTGATTAAAAGGTGACATTCTCATTTAGGGTCCCGTCGTCGCCTGAGCTTCAAACCATTATCATTCACCTGCACTGGTGCTTCCAGTGACAAAATACTTACCAAAATGTATAAAATACTAATTACTTCAGTCACTTTGATAGAGGTATAAAACACCCTAAAGCAAAGCTCTATTATTCTGTGTGAGGGTTTGAATTCAAAATTAAAAATGCAGCCAAAGGGAGAATAAGATTTTAATTACATTCCCACCTCTCAAACATTTCTTGAAAACCTAGGGGAAAAAGACCTAGCAATTTCATGACACAAGAACTCCCTTCCTATGGTACTGCTCACTTAAAAGAAGAAAGAATCCAGAAAAAGTCAAATTTACTTCTTATTTTCAAAACTATCAAGCTTTCAAACACTGAGAGAGACTAACAAGCTTCAGTAAAAAGCTATGGTTTCTTCTCAAGGGATTTCCAATGCCAAACATGTTTTTCCATTTAAAAACTTTCAAGCCCTATGATAGACAATGCTCTGTAACTTACAGATATTTCAAGGAAAAAAAAAGTTCTATTTTCTATGGGGAAAAGCCTCAAAAAAAATGTAATTGGGATGCAACTGTGAATACCTTCACACTATCCTGGTAAACCTTGGTTTAATTTGCATTTGTCACAAAGCTCCCTTCGGCTTGAATAATTGCAAAGGATCTCACACTTTTAGATTTCATTTGGTGGTTTGGGACTATTCCTTGTTTATAACATTTGGCAGTTTTCTTTATTAAGAAAACTTTAACTTGGACAAATTCATGTGCTGAATGGCATGCTGAAACAGCTCTGGAGCTACACATTTCAGTATATATGGAATGAAAAAGCACGTGTTAGTTCATACTTTCACCAAGGGTAGCATTGAGTCCAGCTACCACAATATTTTGATTCCCCAAGAGGAAAAAAAAGTCTTCTAAATTGATGGGCCTTAAGTCTGAAAATGCACAGAAGCATAGTAGCAAAAACAGACTAGAGTAAATCACAATCGAAGTTTTATAAAAACTTCCAGTACATTCCTTTCTCTATCAGAAACATCTAATTCAGTCAAGGACTTCAGCTAAACTGCTCCTTAAAGTTTACAATACATCATTTCATATAGAACAGTTAAGGTCAAAGCGTTTCAGGACAAAAGACTGGAGGGTTACAATATGCTCATGTGCTGTTAACACTGTAATGCTGTTCAGGGAGTGTATCAAAACCCCTCTGTCAAATAAAAGGCTTCAGCGAAGGTAGGGGAAGGATCCAAGTCCATTCATCTGCGTGTGACTGAACCAGGGACAAGAAAAGCAAAAAGCTGTCATCAGCTCCTAATGCTGATGTGGAAGGAATTCCACTCTGCAAAAAACACTCAGTTTCCTGATTCTCATTTCTTCTGTAAAACATTATCCATTTTGACAGGAAATGATGTTGGAGTAACAAACAAAACCAAAACAACATTTCTTCAAGGAAAGGCAATTAATCAGTTTTAAGTAAAGATAGGGTGTATCTACCTTCTGGAGCTCCTATTCTATCTACTTTTCTTAGCAAAAATAGACTTGAATTAGAATTGTCAAATGTTACATTCAGATATTATGGACTAACTGGTAAGCCTGTACAGAAAACAAAAGTTTACTTTTGCATTTTCCCTATTTTTTTACACATTTTAGCACTTCTTTCTTTCTTAATTGTCACTTTAAGTAGATTAAAAAATCTATTTCTATTACATTTCTGCTAACTACACCCACTGCTGCCATGATGCACGAGTAAATACCAGAGTGTACAGCAAAGGTTTAGCACTACAGTCTCAAGTTACTCAGAAGATGATTTTTTTCCGTTTGTGTACAGGTACTTAAGACTGTCATACCCAAACACAATGTCAGAAAGACAAACTTTAGGTACGGTGACATATGGAACATTCTACTTCTAAAGCAACTGAGAATAAAAATGCTTTGCTTTGAGGAGCCTGAACACGCTGTGCATATGTCAAGGAAAAACAGCCTTCTATTCCAGTGTTAAGAGTTAATTTTGCTGTAAGAACATCGTGCTGTTCCTTACAGGGAAAAGCAGTGCTACTAAAACAGCCATTCTTACAGTGTAGGGAGAATTAATACTATTGAAATGTAGTCATTGGGTTTTGGGCTTCATTAATACACTATGGGGAAAAGTACTCAGCTGAGGTACCCTGGCCTGCCTATGGAAGCAGCGTATGACTGCTCCTCTAGGGAGAGGGTGCACCCATCTTACTCACATAAATCAGACCTCTGAAATGAGACACAGTAACACTGAACCACTGAGGCTGGAAGGGGTCTTGGGAGGTCACCAGCCCACCTAATGCTCAAAGTGGGGTCAAAACTAACCTGAGACCTGGCTGCTTAGGTCCTTGGACCCCTTGAGCCGCTCCAAGGACAGAGATTTCACAGCTCTCCGGGCAACTCTCCATCTCCCTAGTTAGAAATCAATACCCTATGAAATAGAAAATACTGGTTTTATTAACAAAAAGCTCTTTTGGTCATGAGCAGTCATATAACTCACGCTAATTACTGCCCTAATTTCTGCATGTTCCATTTCAGCAGTATTTTACTGTAGTCCTGATGGTTTCAGGTCATAATGTAACAGAGTTTCTAGGCAGAGGGGTCATCTTTTATTAAATGTACCTGTTTATCTGGAAAATCAGGACAAGTTTCTGGATGGACTGCATACCAATATAGCACTGACTCAATAGAAAGGCTGTGTTTATGGCACATAACTTTCACACAGTTTCCTACAGGGTTTTAACTCCCTCCTCCTTTCTCCTAGATGATCAGTATTTTCATAACACTCTCTCCCCTTCCTGTTTCACATCCCCTGTACTCCCGGGATGCCACTAGCCTTTTCTTTAAAGATGGTCTACTTGATACATACCTAACCAAACTCTAAGCAGTTGTTCTGTATTTAGCTTGAGAAGCTGCTGATTCAAACCGAGATTTGAAAAAATACTTGTATGCTTGAAAGCTTATTTGATTTTTTCCAGCTGTACCACTTAAGTGACGCTATTCGTACCTGTAAACCTTGTCTAATTTATGCAAAACCTATCATAGGTGTCTCAGCCTTTTCTGCCCTTCTTCCTGCTCTTTCGCTAACTCAGAAAAGCATAAACCTGAGGAAGCAGTAAATACGGCTGTTGTGATAAGCATATTGTGTCCTTATGAACACAGGTGTAAGCAGTGCTACAAGCATGCCAACACTGTAAGGGCAGAAAAGTCAAAAACTAACCTGCTTAAAACTGTGTAGAAGGTCTCACCTCTAGGCCTGTGGATGTTTGCAAAATGAGGTGTCTTTTAAATTATGTCAGGTTTTATGTTATTCACATATTAGTCAGGTTGTGCACAGAAGCACAAGGAAGTGCGATATTTTGTCTGTTTAATGAAAATTAAGGACATTTGATATACAAAAATAATTCTTCTCTGTTTAACAAATGATAAAGGACAGATACAGTACTAGAAGTCTCTCTTCATGGGGTAAATCCTAGCAATGGCCTGCAATGCTTTACAGAAAGATTTTTCTTTTAATTCCCCAAAATGCTACTTATCCACAGCAGGGTCTTATAATCAGCAAGGGCAATTTTTTTTTTTTCCCTGAGTCAGGCAGCACTTACATCCTGGGGCAGGATGATTACAACCCATGTAAATACAGATATTCACTCCTCCCAGAATGAAGGACTCCGCTACAGTTTAATTGCATATTACTCACAAAATAGTTTCCTTCTATCCATTTCACATTTGTTTCTTGAATTAACAGTGATGTATTTTTATTACAACATAAATGCATGTTATTAGATGGCATGACTGTAATATAGCTTTTTGGCTAGAGTTTCGGAAGGAAAAGATTTCTGATCCCTGTTTGCACAACTGTGTATCTGGCATTAAAATTATCATTAGACAAAATACGTAACAGAAATAAATACCTAAAATACAAAAGCAGACCATTCTGAAAACTGTGTTCGGCACCAGACGACAGTCATTCTCTTTGGAACAGACAGAAGCTCCATCCTCAGCTGCACAGGAGAAAACATTTCCACACTCCCTTCCCACCACACCAGGCTGGCTTCTGGCCTGGTGCTTAGGGTGTGCGTGGGGAAAAAGAGGGTTTGGATCCCCTCAGGCAGTGGCAGGAACAGGACTAACTTCAACTGGAGGACACACCAAGCACTTGTAAGATGATATAAAAAGCAAGGATCAGTGCCGTGTGACTTCTACTTTTGAAAGAATCATTTAATACCTGTTTTCAGAAAGGCAGTCGTTGATGGTTCTGAATCCCAAGTGGCAAGAGTTGTCTAATTTTCAGGGAAAAGCAGAATTAGGACTAGGTCCTAAGTATTTCCTGCTAGCTTATTTTGGTGGCATCTCGCAGAGCTTGCTGCAGTTCGTACAATCAGTTTTAGGGTACTTAGGGACTGAGAGACAAGCAGTATGACAGCTGAAGCTGTTACTCTCCAGGTCTTCCCACAGGCAGGGACACTGAATCTAACAACAAATCAGATCTTGAACTGCTACAGTTTTAATTTAGTTTGTTATGATAAACTAATAAAACCTGCAGTTAGGAGTATCTAAGCTCATTAAATTCCTCGCTTGTAGGGGAAAAGTAGTTTTCCTTGCCACGTGGTCCAGTTTCTTCCTTGTGCTACCTCGAACACCAGTTAGACCTCCCAGTGAATCAGTCCTGTTCACCACTGCAGCAGGAGAGAACTTGGGTTCCTGGAAGAGGGGGGAGGTTTGGTAAATTAAATCTTATGACTGATGACCTCTGCCAGTGGCTGAGCAGGTCTGGTGAGTACCAGAGCTGGCATGATGCGGGCAGCAGGAGCGTGCAGCTGAAACTTGTGGAGGTGGCTGAGAGTGAAGAAGACAGGACAAGACTGAGACTCTTCCCTTTTTGATCATGAGAAGCTAAGAGATTGCCTAACTGTGCCTCTGGAAGCTGCAGGTGTGCTTTGCCTTGAGACAAGATGTGCTGTTCATGGATGTGGATTCTGCTGTGAGGGCCAAGTGTGTTTCACAACAGAGTGTCACAACTTTTATGGCTTTCTGTAGGTCTAAATAAACAGTCAATGTCTCTATTCTGTTTTCTTGAAATGCCTAAAAAAATGTGTTCAAAACCCTCCCAGGCCATCAAATTAACATTTCTATTAACCTTTCTAATCCAAAATTAATCAATTTAGGTAACTACTAATGCCTTCCTAAAGCAAGAACTTAAGTTATTACCTAACACAAGTATTACACTTCACAAAAATGTGAAAACATTCTGACACCTCTACAAATCTGCAATATATAGACAGTTAAATTATTCCAAGTTTTCTTTTGTAAATCTGGACCTTTTACTATGCTAAATGGATTCTGAGATCACTTTTTAGGAGCACTACCTCTCAGACAAAATATCATGCTAAAGTACATGCATGCAGTGTTTTAGATTGCTCTTTCAAAAAGTAACACATCCTATTATATGTCCTTACTATAGAAGCAGTGAACCATCTTTATTGCCTCTCCTAAGTTTCCTGCATGGTTATTATGAATCCTGAAATTAAGTGTGATCATAGTAAGATTCTCCATTCTCTGTTAGCTAAAGGAAAAATTAAAATTCTCTAGTAGGATAAGAGGGAGAAGGGTAAAAACACCCATGACACCAGCATACTGCCACCCATAATAAAAGTCAATACACATATGCTTTTGCTTTTCTACAACGTAACACATCTGTGTTTACTCTGAATCTAAAATCTAATCACATTTGGTTGAGGGGGTTGGTAATTCTCTGAGACTGGCACAGACCAGTTTGGAAATTCACATACTTTTATGATTACAGATCATCTAAAGCCTTCAATATGTGATACAAGTCAAGCAAAGTCAATTCTTAGCTCTCAGCTTTGACAGATTCCCTTTCAATCTAGGCTGCTCTATAAAAGCAATTCCCTTTTTTTAAATAGAGGTAAAGCACACATAACTTTTGCCAGATTTCCTTACAAAACCTGCTAATTGTCTTTTAATTATTATTTTTCCTCATCAGGGACTGGAGGGATTCTGGTTCTTTAACAGATTTGACTTCAAATGTGCAAGCGACAAAAACTGGTACCTCAGGATAATCCTGGCTCTCATTAGTGGCCTGCCTGAAAATAAGCCGGTTTTTGGGAAGAATACAAAAACCCCATAGAAGAAGAGACACTTAATACTTCAGCTGTTCCCTGGCTGCTTTGTTGCAGAGAGTATCTTTGTGTTCATGCATCTGAAAGGATTAGGACATGTAAGCA